GCAGAGCTCGTGGAAACACTGCAGAACGGCAAGTGAGGCTGGCAGCGTGGCTTGAGATGTCATCCATAAACACCAGCCTGGCATGTATCATGCCTTGGCTCTCCATGCAAGCAAGAAGTGCAGCATAGCCAGTGAGTTTGCACCGAGGAGGTGGTCCGCAAGGGCTACGATGCTGACAGGATTAGTCCCACCGTTTCCCGAAACTTCTTTAATGTTCCCGGAGTCCAGTCGAGGCCCCAGCAGGGGCATGTCAGGACCAGTGTTGTTTCCGTGCCATCGGATTGGAGTGTTGGACGGCAGGTTCTGCTGCTGAAACGCCTCCGCATGGGAAAAGAAGCTTCGCTTCGAGTTTTGATTTGAGACATATTGCGTGAGAGCCTGCAAACACAGGCTGTCCGGTTCACCATAGGCTCGCAGCTTTTGGAAGACTAAGCCTCATCAGCAAAATCTTCAAAGATTCCACAGCCTATAATAGCAGCCCCAAGCTCGGAGCGTCTCTGAGCATCTCTGAGCATCCGACGATGGCGTACCGCTATGCCGGCTGCTGTGCTGCCTTCGTCGCCCGCCGACCGCAGCAGGCCTGCGAGGCCTGCGAGGCCTGCGAGGCCAACGCCTGCCCGGCTGCGGAGACCCCCGGGGGTCACGCGGGCTTTCCTTGCCGAGGCTCGGAGATCGGAGGACTGCAGTAAACAATGGCAACATGAAAACCGCAAAGCCATCGAAGCAACCAAGCACACTGACATTGGAAACAGAACATCCCTTCTACAGCAAGAGCCGAGGCAGTGGCTCTGGGGCTCCACCCTCTTGCCCTGCGCTCCTTCCTCCGCTCTTGCCAGCGCCGCCCAAAGCGGAGTTCCCCGGCTTCGAGGCCCCCAGCGTTTTCCTGCTGCCAACTGCCACCACCAAGGCTTCCGCATCAACGGCTGCCGCCTCGATCGCAGCGACGGCCAGGAGAAAGAGGGGAGACGGGAAGCCAAGCGAGCTGCTGTTGACCGCAGGAGCTTCTAGGACGCTTGCGCAGCGACGGCTTCCGGCCCAGCCCAGCGCCCTGGTGTGGCGATGGCTTTCTTCTGGAGAGCGAGGACGGCGCCTCCCTCAGTTCCTTGCAGCTCTCCGGCGCCGTCTACCTCCAGGCCCAAAGGGACTTGGAGGGCACTGAATCGAACAGCAGTTGCACCGCTGTTTGTTTCTGCTCCTTTTGAGAGGAGCTTGCTTCCATGTTGCCGGTGCAGGCGCAGGGCTCTGAGCCACGTCAGCACCGGTCCATGAACTCTGTGCCAAGACGACACGTAGTGTCGTCACTGGACTCCGTCGTCTAGCTGATTGGCAAATGTTGTCAGAGCAGCCAGTATGCCATGCATATGACATGAGCAACTGATAGAAACTGTAAACGTTGCAAGAGAGGTTGGAGGAATTCTCGCGGAGGTGTAAGCATCCGCATTGGCACCCTGTGGAAAGCCGTTTGTTGCCCTCCCGTGCCTGCGAGGTGCTTTGGTCTCAGCTGCCAAAAACTGGCGGCCTGCGCTGCCTGGACCTCTGTGCTGCACCGGGCTCCAAGGCTCATGCAACAAATGAAATAGAGATAACATCGAGTTCTATCGAGTGCTTGAGTTACGGATCCATGAAGAGCTTTCCGAGGAGGGAGTGACAAGAATCTCGCTGCAGTCGTGGCACGAACCTGCCATGCTAGCAGCTTTAGTTGTTTTTTCTGGCAGGCGACGCAGCTTCTCACATTGCTTCGCCTCCAAGGCAAGCGTGGATCAACGTGGCAGCAATGTTTTGATGGTCAACATAGCAGCCAATTTGGGCGCTATTTTTGGCGGGTAGCTTCTGCACAGGAAGCCTGAGCTCTCGTTGCCTGCTGGTCGCGAACGATTCCCAGCCGCAGCGCTCCGATGTGCTTCGCTGCAACGTCGTTCGGTCGCTCAGCTAACAGCTGCCAGCCGAATCAGGTCAACAGACTGAGCAGCCAGTACCCATTGTAAAATGCACGTCTCCAGAAGCAATGGCCGATCGTCGATCTCAGAGGACCTCAAACTAGAGAAGATCAAGGCTGCACAGACAGCGTTTGCGACTCTGCCTGGTGCTGAGGTCAGGTGTGGCCGAGGACTGCCTCATACTTCAGGAGCAGCGTCGATGTAGGTGTGGGGTATTGTGGGGTATTGAACCTATGTGAATCCGGACGCAGCAGTTCCGGTTCGAAAGGAGTCTGGGCAATGCCTCGGCGACCTCGCACCGGGCTGTTTCGATGCCGTACTCCTGGATGCTCCCTGCAGTGCCGAAGGCAATCTCCGCAGGTATCCCGAGGTGCAGCTGGGGGAAGGGGAACTGGCAGTATCCCTTGGTAGCTTTCACTGCAGGTGCTGGACCGCATTCTGTCTGAGGGCTACCAGCAAAGTGTTCGTTCCAATTCCGAAGTTCAGTGGGAGCTGCTGCAGAGTGCCTGGAAATTACTTCGCCCAGTCCTGAAAGCCAGTGTGCAGCATGGTGCGTCAACCAGATTGAGAGACTATGGTCATTTGCAACCCAAGGCCCCGGAGGTACCTTGGTATACTCCACTTGCACTTTGAATTCGCAGGCCAAGCAAGAAGTGGTATCCTAGATGCAATTTCTGTCCCTTCAGCCGCGATGTAGTTGACTTTCGCAGGAGAACGAGACACCGTGCTGCCGCCTGCTGCAGCACTATCCCTCCGCAGAGGTTGTCGATCTCAGGCCCGCAACTTGCTCTCTGGCTTAGCCCCTGCATTTTTTTTTGCCTTGGCGTTGACGCTTCTTCGTGTCCCGAGTCGCGGCGTTTGTGAGGTACGGCCTTGGAATGGATGCGACGGGAACAAAGGATGGGTTTCTGCGAGTGTGGCCACAAGCCTTTGACACGATGGGCCGCTTGGCATGCTTCGGGGGCACCTGCTCCCAGATTTGCAGCTTCTCGGCATGCAGGCTTCTTCGTGGCCTGCTTCCGGCGACCGCGCGAAGCAGGTGAAGTCACAATTTTCTTGGAGGGAAACTGGAGGGAAACTGGAGGGAAACTGAACGTGGTGCAGGCCGCCCAGGCAGCCCAGGCCCAGGCTACGACGCAAAGCTGGAGGTGGACTGGCTCCCAGTGCAGGCCGAAGAGCTCCGGCGCATCTTTGGCTGCGCTATATGCGGTGTCGCTATGTGTACCGGTGTACCATCTGAGATCAGGTGCCACGTGAAGAAAAGCTCTCAGCATATGCGCGCGCTATTGCCCGCCGCAAACGAGGCATGCGCGAAGGAGCCGAATCTGCCGGCGCAGCTCGACACGCAGAGAGACCGCTCCTTTAGAGGAGGGGTTAAAATATAGGGCAAGCGCCCTATAGGCTCCCGCTTTCTGAGGTAGCGTGGCCCCAAACGTTTCTTGGAAGCAAAGAGCTAGGCACTAGATGGCACTATGCACATGCGCGATGAGTTCAGAACCCAGATCCGATTCCTCGGAGCGCCTGATCGTCAGCAAGGACGGCGCCTCGGCCAAAGAAAAGCCGGAAAGGTGGAGAAACCGGGAACAAGGAAAGTTGGAGTGCAGGAGCAGCCTTCCTGGTGCCTCCAGCCGTGGAGGGCCTCCCGCCGGCCTTGCCGCCCGGACAGCACCGAGAATAAAAGGACGAGGATGCGGGCGGGGTGCGAGGTTTGCGAGCTCGCCGAGGCTCCTCTGCTGTCCTCGCCCTGGCCTCTGCCTGGGACCCAACCATGCAGAGCTGCGCCTCGCCACGGCGAAGCACCTGGACACCGAGGACGCAGAGCACAGAGCACAGCAGAGCCCTGCAGAGCCCTGCAGAGCACAGCAGAGCACCAGTCGCTGTCGCGACCTGTCGCCAGGAGTGGGCAGAGCTGAACGCCTCACAGGGCGGAGGCCTGCGAGATTGGAGCAAAGGCCTCGTCATCAGAGCAGTGTGCGCTGATGGGGAGGCCTCGGAGCGTTCGGGGCTTTGATGGACCTCCGTGCCAGAAAAGGACCCAGGGAGAGGATCCTGGAGTCTTCGCGAACTAGATAGGATCTAGCTTGCAGGAGATGTGAGAGGAGCAGAAGAAGTTCTTGTGCAGATCAGGCGCTGACTTGCAGAAGTGATTTCTGAGATCAGTTCGTGTCTTGCTGTGCAGGCAGCAGCGGATGAAGCCGGACTTGATTTCCTACAATACACTTCTCAAGGCGGCTTCAGATTGACAGGCGCACTCACGCACAACTGTTGCCGGAGCTGTGTTGAGGCTTATGCTGCTATCAAAGACTGCGAGGGCGCAGTGCGCATCCTGGCATCCATGCGAAACGATGCAGTCCCGCCTGACAACGTCAGCTTTTCGACGGCCATGCAGGCCTGAGATCGCTGAAGTTGTAAAGCATAGTAGTGCTTGTACCGTTTCGGCTCTCGACCTCCGATCGAGGCATGTGCGGCGGCAGGAAGAAGCAAAACAGCCGAACAACTCTCAGCAGACCTGCGTGGGGCGCCAAGTTAGACAGTGCGGTGTGGAGCACGAGTAAACTCCAGGTTCGGCACATTCCTGCCAATGTTCCATGTGTCATCACGGACTTCTTACTGAAGTGGATAACAACCGTCTGAATAAAATGAGCCGGAGGAAGGTTGTGACATGTTCTGATGGTTTCGTGGCGGGAGTGTTGTGGGTGTTGTTGCGCAGGCAGCGCACGGCTTCAACCAGATCTGATGACTTGCACTACTCTTATTCGTGACCGGTCTTGCATTGTTGCACTCTGCTCGAGCTCCCTCCAACATGCAACCGTGCATATAGCAGAAGTATCGATCGTTGATTAGAATCGAGGCTCTTATGCTGCTGACTCGCGGCGCACGGACGCAGAGGTGCACACGATGCGACGCGAGATCGCTCCATGCCGCTTCTCTTTGTGCGTACGCTTCAGAGCAAGATGCGATCGAGCGGAGCATGGCTCCGTGGGGCCGAAGGCCCACAGCCAGATCATCAAGTGTCAGTTTTGCCAGGCACTTCTGCAGCAAATGAAGCTTGATGCCTTGCAGCCGGACGTGGCGTGCTACACAGCCTTGATGGACTGACGACTGGGGCGTCCTGCATCTTGCAGACGCGCAGCCGACTTTTGACAGGACCTGTATGCCTCTTTGCGGGATCGAGTGGCAGCAGAAGGGCTGCTCAACAACATGTCCGTGGCCCCTAACGTCATCACCTATGGGGACGCTCGGAACGATAGACCGCGTCGCATCATGTCGCAGTTATGCCAGATGTCGCTCGCGCTCTCTCTCTCTCTCTCTCTCTCTCTCTCTGTCTCTCGGTCGGTCGGTCGGTCGGTCGGTCGGTCGGTCGGTCGGTCGGTCGGTCTCTCTCTCTCTCTCGCTGTCTTTCTTTCTTTCTTTCTTTCTCTCTGTCCCTCTCTTGTTCAATCTGTTATATATATATATATACACATATATATATATATACATAGTGAACACTCGTTCTCTCTCTCTCTCTCTTTCTGTCGCGCTCTTTGTCCCTCTCTCTCTCTCTCT